TTTAAACAGCTCTCTGCAACTATTCAACCTAGAGATCATACGCCAGAAGCAGCCTGAATTTTGAGCTGTACTCCCTAAGCTCTGAAGCCGAAACCCAATGGCTCCCTGTAGTCGCCCCTCGCTAGTCATTAAAGTACTTCCTTCCAATAATGAACCTCCCGCGCCCATATAACGAATGCTCCGTAATATTCCCGCGTCTCTTTCTCTCTCTCTCTCTCTCTCTCTCTCTCTGTCTCTCTCTCTCTCTCTCCCTCTCTCTCTCTCTCTGTCTTTTTACACAGGGAGGAAGGTTTATCAGTAGGCCAGGTGATTAGACAATACCCCCGGCAAAAGAAAGAGCCCATTGCATTGCATGCCAGGAAGTTTCTCAGCTTGCCCTTCCGTATGGCGCGAGCTACAAGAGCGCTCCAGATGCAGTGACTGATTCTACTTTAAAGTGTTTGCTGGCTTCATGGAGATGTAAGTTACATTTCGTGAAAAGTGTAGACGATCCATAGTCCGGGAGAGCATCTTCAATCACTTGGAATCTGATTCTAAGCGGTGACCTTCTCCTTTGAAAATGAAACGAAGCACCCTTGCCTATCGACATCGGACCCTTATGGAAACTTGCTTCTTATGCGGATTTCTCAGAACAGGGGGGTGGTCTTTGGATGTGGAGGCGGATTAGAATGAGATTCTAGGCATTTCCTTGAACCACTATCTCTACACTCTAGACAGGGTTTAGGGCTCAGGGTTTCGGCTGCCAGCCAGACGGCCATGTCTCTGGTAAAGAAATGGCGGTTTCCGTACATAAGTTATCAATATATATATATACACATATTATTTATATAGATCGATCAATCTGCCATAGTAGTACTTATTAAGGACACCCCACAAGGGCCTGCAACTTTGGGACACCTCCAAGTTTCGGGCACATCCATCAGCAGCAATAGTGACGACAACAGGAATTCTGGTCGGCTTTTCCATTATCACTATGAACAAGGTGATAGACTGGTGCTTCCTGGAAGTAGTATAACTACCTAGTATAACTACCTAGAGCCCATTTAGGATGCTTCAGGGGGATTGACAAAGGCATGTGGGACAACCTCGAGACAGAAGCCATCAGCGTCGCGCGGCACCCAGATGGACCGAGGCAAGTTTGCTCATCGAGACTTTCCTATGAAGGAGGTTCAAAGTTATGTGAGCTATAGTCTAAACTCCTTAAATGGGGTTATATACGGGATTATATAGGAGGGTATTGTAAAGTTATTCAGGGGGATACCTGGAGTTCAGACTATAGCTCATGTGTTAAGGGCTTAAGAACAATGTTGTGTGGTTAGCCTCGAGCGGTTTCCAATGGAGCGTTTTAATCTTCTAGATGCATTTCCATGCTCGGCTTGAAAGAGTGCTTCTGCTACCTTCTGCGAAGAGTACTTCATCGTGAGGATGATTACACATCCCCTCAACCTCTCTGTCTATAAATAATACCTGCATTAGTGCCCCAAACCCTACAAATAGTACCTACATGGAGCCTTGGGGATCAGCAAGTCGGAACCAAGGATTCGAACCATGGGCAAGATGTGCCTTAGTCATATAGGCCAACGCGCTTTAGGGTTTGGGGTTTAGGGGACGCTGCTGTCCTTATTCGGCAACTAAGCCGTCAACCCTAAACCCTAATTCCTAAACTATAAGCCATAAGGGCTGCGGACAGTCCACCCTCAACTTGACCCTGAATCCTAAACTTCAAGCCCTGTTCCCTGAACCCTTGGCTCAAGATCCTAATCCCTAATCCCTACCCGGACACTAACGCTTCATTGTGGGTCATATACCGTACGAATAGGGGACATAATCTATGCCGGGTGGGTCCTGCAGCGTTCGGGTAGACTTCATCGCGCTCTCTTCGCAAACCTTAAGCCCATAAGCCCTAAACCTTAACCTCTAAACCCTAAATCCTAAACCCTAAACTCGAAACCCCAAACTCTAAACCCATTAATCCAAAACCTATTGCTTCACAACTCTGAGGGCAGCGTCTTGAAGCATGCTGCGGGAGGCTTGGCTGGAGCCGTGCTGGCCTCGGTCTGGCGTCCTTGGATGTAGGATGTAGGGGTTTAGGGCTTCGGGTTAAGGGTTTAGGGTTAGGGTAAGAATGTAGGATGTAGGATAAGGTAGATTCCCTAAATAGGGGATCCAATATAGACCTCAAAATAGCATAGTCCTTACTATAAGGACACCCCAAAAAATGCTCTCATTTTGGGAACGCCCCCCTAAAGGTTAAGGCCTTCGTTTTCATGGTTTAAGGTTGATTAAGGCTTTAGGGTTCAGCACCTCACAAAAAGCGAATGAGGGAAGCATGCAATTGTACGAGGTATTATGAGGTTTCTTTTCAAGGCCCGGAAGATGTGGCTTGTCCTTCTACTGCAAGATCCAACTTCCACGAACCTAGAGATGCTCTTACAGGACAAGCATGCAGTAATCTGTCTCCGGGGCCGGTATAGGCCCTGGCATGTGTTTCGCAAAACATGGGGTTCGTTGGGACCCTAGGGATATGTGGGGATTGCAGGGGAAGTGCGGGGGTCCTTATTGGTAGTTATATGGGACTAAATCAAAGGAACTCCCTAGCGCCATATCTGACACCTAAACCTCCTGTGTGCAAGAGGTTTCATCATGCTGCAAGCGATACCCAAGATGGTATTGCAAAACAGCCAGGAAGTGTGGAAAGGAACAGCAATGTGCGCAGTAACCAGGTTTTAATGGTAGTACCTGTACCGCCATGGAAAACACCGGCTTAGCGGCAAGAACCTATGGTTGCTGGCAAGACCGGCCGGCCAGTTCTGATTCAAAAAAAGTTCTGCTGCCCGAGCGTAGGTTCTGATTGGGCACTCTGGGACCAAACCACGAAACTCTTCAGCGGTGCAAACCTTTGTGAAGCCTACCCCTAGACCGAAATCCCAGACACCAAAACTCTTAGCCTCCGCGAGATGTTCTCAAGCAACCCGCACCGTATCTATTTATGCTTGGGTCCCTGCGGGTACTCCCAACCCTACGACCTCTTAAGATAGCCACAGAGTACAAACCTTCATATCTCCCAAAGCTCTGGAAAGGGAGCCCCAGCAAGGCCTCAACAGAACATTGTAAAGCCAATGCACAGGTTGGCGGAGCTGCGAGTTTAGCCAGTCACAGCACGGACCCTGGAAGTTAAGAGGTTTTAGAGTTGAGGTTGAGGGTATAGGGTTCGGGGTCCGTGGCTCGGGGTTTGGGGTTTGGGTTTACGGTTTGGGTCTTGGGTTTGGGGAGTTTGGTTTGGGCTTGGGCACTTTTGGTTCAGGGCTTTGGCTTCAGACGGTTCTTTCCCTCCTCTCTCTCTCTCTCTTGGAGCACTTATTTCGCTAGGATGGTTCTAACCATGACAGGACGGGCAGAGTGGCATCTGCTTTGAGTTCAAAATGAGCGGCTACAGGAAGGTTGCGGGGAGTGGCTTGGGATGGACTAGGCAAGGCTTGCACGATCCGAGATCCAGCATTTCGGGTGCGTAATTGAGGATGAAGTGTTGACCTCTACATACCCTAAACCCTAGCCCTTAACCCTGGGCCAGAATGATGAGCTTTTCAAGCTTTACGATGCCGTAGATAAGGGGGTATGTAATATAGGAATCCCAAGGATGAAGGACCAGGGGCCCATGGCTCAAACCTTAAACTTTGGCTTAGGGTGTAGGGTTTCTCCAAAATGAGTTGGCCTCAAACGTTGAACATGCAACCCCAACCTCGTATCTTCCTTTGGCTGCTTTTGCTTTAGCACCTCGACCTGGCTGTGGCTTACTACTCGGGGGCGGGGTGGGTGGGGGAATTAATACAAAGGACTTGTAACCTTAAACCTAACCCTGATGTGGTTAATACAGGGATCATTACAGGGATCCACTCCTCCCAATTACTTTTAAGTCCTTGAAAGTTTGAGTCAGTGCTATCAAATTTTGACGATTGTCGTAGCAGCGGCTAGGGACCTAGGGTCCCAAGGTCAGATCCCTGGCCGCAAGCCCTGAACCCTAAGTGCAGTGTGTGTGTGTGCGTGTGTGTGTGGGACCCTGTTAACT